CTAATATTTTAATAAAATCTCTCATAAGCAGCACAACTTTCTCATTCGTTTATCATCATGTTATTCCATCAAACATTCATTCAATATTTTTCTTTTATTTTTTCTTAACTTGTAATGCTCTTCGATTTACTGACGATAGTGAATTTACACTTAACTTAACAACGTTATTCGATATTCCTGATCAATGTAATCAAATTGTATCAGCTGGCAAATTTCTTGCATTTCTTACCTTTTCGTATTTAGGTTAGAAGCCAGTCCATTAGACTTTATCTTTATAACATATTTGACTGAGTTTGTCGGAAGAAAGTACAATTCTCTATTTTATTTTGTCCTGTTCGTGCCTTAATATCGAGATGTAATTGAATGGTAAGTTATGTCATGATGCACTTTGACAACGGTCCTATCTCAGGTCTACTTTGAGCTATAGGTCTGGAAATTTCTACAGGCATTCTAGGACTGATTAACAGTAAGTGCTAAAATTTTTAACTGAATTCTTCAAGTCTAGCTGGAGCTATTGAAATCACACTGAATACTAGGATTTCCTACTTGGCGGAAGTTTTTAATGTAAAGAGTGGATCTCCGTTATTTCTTCATTATTTCTTGTCAAATTTGGACTGGAGATAGCTGTACAAATGGGTTATCGAATGAGGACCATGGAAAAGTAAAAGTCGAAAAATGAAAGAGATATAACATTCACAAGATGTCAGTGGAGAAGAACTAATAACTTCGCCGTATGTCGACCAATTGAGAGCGGGGAGGAGGGAAGTGTATGCGATCAAAGTTTATCAAGACTCAAACACACTCAAAATATCAGGTTAAAACAATGGGAAAAACATTATATTTAAGGGAGAAGTCGGGACTTATGGCCAGTACTGTACAACTGACATTCATATCGATATTTGTTTTAGATATTTATAAGATGCTTTACTAAAACTATTTCTTATTTATTAATGACAAAAATTGAGTGAAGAAGTTCGACTATAATAACTGTTTTTCATATAATTAAAAATAAAAATCGTTAAGTAATAAGTAAAGAACATCAATATAAATACCAAAACAATTTCACTTAAGAGATTTTCTCATAAAACAGTTTTTATGTAACTAACTCAACGGATCGTCATCTGAGTTAGTACAACGTGTGTTCTACCTACTGCAGCACTAGTCTCTAGACGTCAATTGCCATCCAATGGTTGAAGAGTGACTTTATCAATGTCATTTCAGTCAAAAAGAATAAGTTGTTGTATATGTGTAGATCAGTGCTGAATTTCGATGTATTGTAATCATTAATTGCATATCATCATTCCAAGCACCATATGCAGTAAGAGAAGCAAAAGTAAATGTTTCATTTAAATTTTCACCGCTAATTCATGCGTTTTTCGAGAACCAGGCTACCTGTAGACTATTGCCAGATGTAACAGAAGTGACATCTACACTTTTCGGAAGCTTCTCCTTCAGATGTAATGCGTGTGCATAATAAATTTTATTCCATTCCAACCTTCTATACATATTTGGAATCGATTGAGATTTCTCATCAGCTATGGATAAATCATTGAATGTAATCCTTGCTCTTGTTAGTAAAGGAACTAAATTCATACTTCTTTCGTTATCTTCATTCAGAATCGAATATAGTAAATCACTTACTCAATATCCGCATTTCATGTAGTTGAAGGATAAGTTGTCATATCTGGCGTTTATTCTCTTTAGTTTATTCTCTTAAACAAATGTTTTCTGTATGTTTCATGTCAGCATCACCTCTTTTGTAGACAAGTTTGCACTCTTGACAAGTTAATTCAATCGATGCACAGCTATTCGTATGATTATCGAAACCTTTTTCCAATATTTCTAATCGACAACCAGATCATTTTTGAGGCTGATAGCTGCAATCGAACTTATGTTTCTCTAGTACTTCATACGGAATGACCTATGAAGAAAAAGGCGTGTGTAGTATTAATAATGTGATCATTATCTGATTACCTGTTGACAACCTTTTGATTGATAATAACAAGCAAACTATAATTGAGCAAGTAGCTTAACAATGAATGAAGGATATTTGCGTTCGATATATATATCTTACATCGATTGGGACATTTCTCTGGATTATTGGCAAGCCATTGACGGATACATACTGAACAAAAAGCTGTTTCACATGTTTGACAGGCAACTGAGTTCCATAGTAAATCATGACAAATAGGACATTCGAGAAGATCAACATTGACTGATGATAGACTACGAGCACGATCAGAAGATATAGCTTGTTATTCCGTTGATGTCATCTGAAGAATAATAACAGAAGAAACAGATTCACAATAAATAAATTAACAGAGCTATTGCTATACAGATGGTCTTTTTTATCACTGTAAAGTGACATTCAATGGCGAGATATTTATTAGCCTTCTTTAACTCTATGACTATGTCGGTCATAAAGAAACAACTGAGCTTTAGGATTGTAGATATCCATAGTAACAAAAATAAACAGAAAAATAAAAGAAATGAATAAGAGTAAAAGAATGAAGAGACAAAGAGAGTATGAGAAGAAGAAAAAGAAAACAAGAACAGGAACAGGAAGACTATCGAAAAAATGTGCAATATCAAATGGTTTATGTACTGTTAATTGAATAATAAAATAACAAAAACTTGAGAAATAACATGTTTTAGAGAGATGAATAGTCTCTATACATATTTTTTTCCTTTTTTCCTATTCACTTCTTTCCCTTACTCTGACTTTAAACATTCTCAATGACACAATATAACATTTCAAACATGTATTTTTCTTATTATTTACGCAACGGATAACATATTAAAATAAACAAGAAAGTATACTGCAATGTTTATCTAATACTCTTTCGACATATACAAGATTTTGAATGTTCTCATCAGAATTTCAATGCCAGAGGCATCTTTTCAACACAAATATACACTATTAGTGAGCTGCTATTGTTATTTGTTGAGATGATAGTAAAAATAATAATAACTCTGCATATATTTTATCATCTGTCTAACAATATGAATCTCTCAAGTTGTAGAAAATTCATCAATCATGCAAATTCCTTGTGCAACAAAACGAGTATTTCCAAATCTAAAACTGTGGATCGATTAAAACTATCGAGTGATCAAACTACCTTTCACGCTATCAATACATAGAATCCTGTGTCAAATACCTCGTATTTTTTTGATAGAACTATTTGTTCCTTTCTCATTATATTTGAAAGAGATCAGATCAACAAACAAGTGCTTAATGAATTTTAGAAATGCTTTTCTATTCCACTTTTGCAATGATATCAAACAATCTGTTTCATATTAAAAATAGAAAAAAATTAGTAGAATATGTGACTATATTTGATTGGTTTTTCTAAAAAGGTGTTATCTCAGTTGTGAATGGTGAGAATGCAGCAACATTAATATGAGATTTTCTTGAACAAAAAAATTAGTTAACTTATACATGAATGATCGTGAAATTCATGATAGTAAAATGTTATTAGAATGTATTTGAAGATAATACATCATCGATGTAAGAATATATTCATTTTAGTTTTCGTCTTATTTCCATGAACAAATCTGAAAGTATAATCTAATTATAAAATCAATCGTTCACAAAAAAACAATCGAGGTAATATTAGGAACAAATTGATGAAGAGAAGAATTGTTTTATAAAATTTGGTTTTGTAAATGTAAATATAAAAGATGACTATTATTGATGTTTATAATATGACATAGTCATTATACTGATTATGAAAAGAAATGAAATGTTTTGCTCTTCAGAATAACACGAGAATGAATAGTAATCGCTGTAAGAGACTATCTCTATATGTATCGTCAAACTTTAGTTGAAATCTACAAAATAATGTTACAGTAAATAAAATACAAAATTCTCTTGAATGTACGATGTATATCTATAAGGTTTTATACATCTAATTGATTTGTTATAACAAAGTTTTGAAGTTGAAGAGAAACTACTTAATTAAGTGAGTTTGTATAGCTAGTTACTTCTGAGATATCAACTCATTTTTGTTGAAATTGTTACATTTATTCGTTATAGATAATAAACATCCGAAAACGTTAAGGGCGTTAGCTTTATGCATGATTAAAGAAAACGATTATCATCAAATCATTCAAGAATAATTGAAAAATACAACAAGGTTTGCATTTAAAAAATGCACTTGTAAAACAAATTCTTTTCCAAACAACTAACCCTATTTTCATCTGAGTTATCACAACTTGTATGTCATTTGTCCCTGCACCATTTTGTGGATGTGCAGTACCACCTGATGACTTGAAAAGGATCTTGTCAATATTATTCCATTCGAGTAGAATGTGTTGTGCTTGACCAAAACGAAGTAATACTTTATGAGTATTGATCTGTACTGAATTTTGTTGCCCTATGATAGTTAATTGCAGATCATATTTCCAAGCAGCACATTCATCAAGAGAGATAAAAGTAAACGTTTCATTATGAACAAGCAGTAGTGACCGGTTCCGTCCTTGGTTAAGGGACTCATCGGACAGCATGTCCAAATTCATCATTATCCTAAGATAACAACGAAACTGTTTAATCTATCCCTATCAAAGACAGAGGAGACACAGTCTTAAGTATGGCTACTCAATATTAACAAGCAGCCGTAACCGCTTTCGTTGTTATCTTTGGATAACGAGGGTGTGGGTGTGGGTGTGTGGGTGTGTGGGTGTGGGTGGTGTGTGGTGTGTGGTGTGTGGGTGTGGGTGTGGGTGTCGGTGTGGGTGTGGATGTGGGTGTGGGTGTGGGTGTGGGTGGGGTGTGGGTGTGGGTGTGGGTGGGTGTGGTTGTAGGTGGGTGTGGTTGTAGGTGTGGCTGCGGGTGTCGGTGTGGGTGTCGGTGTGGCATGTGGGTGAGGGTTAGGTTGTGGGGTGTGGGTGGGTGTGGCTGTGGGATGTGGGAATTGGTTGGGTGTGAGGGTCCAGATAAAAAAAAGCTAATCACCCAGATCCAGACCCACACCCCACACCTACACCCACACCCCACCCACACCCATAATACATAACCAGGGGCGGCGCGAAGAGGTCAAAGCA